ACTGGCCCATGCCATACCACTATCCGGACATCTGGGAATCGCTAGTACCAGAGAGCGTGTTCTCCGGCATTTTTATTGGCCCGGGCTGTTCAGGGATGTCAAAAACTCTGCAAAGGCTGCCCTGAGTGCCAAAGGTCTGCCACACAGCGCGCCAGAGGAAACCACACCGGGGTCAATCGCAGAGGAAGAGTGTTGCGCCATCCTCCTCGGAACAACACAGACTCGACACTGCATCTATGGCAACGTTAGGTACACCCCGGTCCTAAAAAAATGGCAATGCCAGTGGCCTCAGCAGGGCTTGGGATCTGTAACCATGTTGATTGCCTTGTCTTGACGTAGATAGTCTTGTAGTAAACTTGTAGTAAAGTAGCATACTGAATAATAATAAATTTACACACTTTGACCGTTCAAAACGTTGAGAAAAGGGTTTTATGGTTTCTTGTACAGAAAGCGGTAATTGGACGTTGCCTAAATTAACGTTAAATACCTATTGACTTAGTCTGAGACTAGAAAGGCCAATATTTGCTTTGGAGCAAATATAGCGATGGGTTCACCACATTTTACCACATGGCAGGGAAAGAATGAGAAACACAAGGGAAAACAATGCTTTACATTGATATAACTATAGTATGAAGTAACATACAACTAAGACTACAACAGTTGGATAGCTATTCCCTACATTATTGGTTAGGATTGCATAATGCAAACTGTTGATTTTCAAGATAAAAAGAAGCGTTCATAGCCCGCATTCCAATGCTGGAGCAGGAAAGCTTAAAATACCTACCAAAACACTTGAATACAGACATACTGTCAGTATGGCATGGCTCTGTGCAGGTGTAAATGAAGTTAAGCCAGTTAAATCCCAACAGCCAATCAGCAAGGAGAATAGAGGAAAGCTGCATGCCTATTGGTTGATGCCTTGCATGCCATTGTGATGACTCATGTCCAAATGTGGTAAACACTGCACACTTACACAGTAATACATTAGCTATTACACAGCCAAAAAACTCAAATAAAACCATTCTAAAAGCCTGTATCACAATAATTTAAAAAACGCCTAGGGGTATTTGCCCACTGTACCTCCATACCAAATTTCAGGACCTTAGGCCCTAAAATGAAGAAGCTGAATCCATTTAAAGATATGGCAGGAGGAGGAGGAGGAGGAGAAGGAGAAGAAACATCAGAAAAAGCAATATGGTTTCACCACACCACTTCGTGGTGTGGTGAACCCATAAAAACATTATGAATATACATTGTATTACATTAGAAAAATTCACAATAGCCATTGATAGAATTACCCTTTAATATGTGATGATCACATATAGAGCTAACAATGTTCATGAAATAAAGTTACTGAATGGAGCATATTCGAGTCCGTTTGGACCCCGTTTTGATCATGAGAGTTGCTATAGTTGGCTGGTCGCTTGCTGGTTAAAAAGAAAGGGTATGATATGAGAAAATATGAATAACTGTTGTTGAAAACGGTAGTATGCCACAGAGACAAAACGTTTAATCTGAAAGCACTTCAGATCTCCATGAAAACACTTATGACTAAATATTCTGGAAATGATGCACAATCTTAGCTTTAAACGTCAACATTGCTATTTATTCCAGCTCTCATCAGCATTTTATTCTTCAGTTATTGGCTTCATGAATTACAAACGTTTCGACTTAACAACTTTCATTCGTGCAAAAAGCATGATCATGAAATATCGCCTTACTGTCTCTATAAACTGTTTCTGAAGAGTGTGTTATTCTATAGCCTATGTATTTTTAGCCAGACTGTAACCCAGTAGTCGGTATCACGCTGGGCTATATGTGCCTGCTTACACTATCACTTTCAATTTCAAATCACTTTGCAATGTTATGATCTTTAAAACAGCTTTATCAATAAAAAAACGTATCTTTTATTGAAGTTTAAGAAAGAAACATTTTTTCATGGAGATATTGTTTTCAGTCTGTCTGTCTGTGTGTGTGCGTGGGTATGTGTGTTTCCGCAAACTTGAGAACGCCTTTATGGATATTGATGATAATTGTGCGTAGGGCTGAGGAGGCCAAAGGTCAAGTTCAAATGTGGGCTGATAGCTGACCTTGGTACTGCAGCAGAACTTCCGGTTTTTGTATCTTTTGTCCTGAATATGCTATGGTTTTGATTTTTTTAGTGACAGATAGCTTATCCTGTCAGGAATTAGTGGTGTAAATTTGGTCCCCCTAGCAGCTTGTGCTGAAACTGCAGGTTAGTTTCTGGTAAAAACTTTAAAAGCCAATAAGTCCAGATAGGAACAACGTATTTTCATCATTTTTGGTATGTTGGTAGCTAAGAGAAAGTTGTACATAATGCAAATTATACAAATGAGGACTTAATTTGCATGATTAATTAGGAAATTTTGTAATCCCAATGTTTAACATCATAGAACTTTGATACATGTAATATATATTATCTATGACAGATTTTGTTTTTATGTTTAAAAATATAAAGCCATCTTTTCCCACCATTATGTGGTCAACTACACGTATGTTCCAATCACTTGGCTACTTTCCAAATAATGTATTTCCATATACCCACGTTGGTCACTTGTTAAGTTTTATAAAAGTTACAAGGTAAGTTGTAGCTGGAGACTTACAGAATTCGTTTCTGGGTCACAAATTAGTATATGAACAGTATCAAAGTTGCTGGTGGCTGGGCACAAGTCATACCCCCTTCAAAAGCGGCTCGAAGCTAACTTAAAAACAAAAGTCTCGTTGATACAGCTGAAAGATGGATATTCTGTGTACAGAGCCTCCATATTTCCTGCCAGAAGGTAAGACGGAAGAGTTTTCACAGTTCCCATGATAGCCGTCACCTTGGTCCCAGGATGAGTTCCCGGATGTGTCGGTAAAGAAACTGCCCGGATAGTGAGCGGTCTGAGAAGACGAGAAAGAAGATGACGTCATAAACAACGTTAGCTACTACAGTCACTGTACTTGGACGCTTGCATGCATACTGTTTAGAGGCGTCTAAGTTTAAGCTTGACACAGCTGTGATCCGATGTCTCTATATATTTATCGTGCAACAAAATGTCTAATTGTCTTGTGTCCAAAATGTAGCGAGTGCCAAAAGCAATTAAGTACAGAAATCTAGATCTTTCTATTTTGCCTACTCCCAAGAAAACGGCACGATTTTTTAATTGCCAGCAGAAAAGGTACTTCTAGTATCAGTTTACATGAACTCTGGGGTCAGACAGTCCACTTTCCTGCAGCTGAACCTAAACACGGGACAGCTCCCCTCCCGCCCATTTACAGACGACTCTGTCACCAGTAACCCCGGTAATTGTTGCTGCCTCCATGGGACGAAATTGTTTTTTTTGCTAATTAAATTTATCTGCTATATAGATTGAAAAGTTACTGAAGCACACCTGTGAAGGGGAGTTGATAACTGACGGGCATGGGGCATGAGGGCCCTTTCCCACCTGGAAACATAACGTAAGTTTGTGTAATCAAGAACAGATGAGAGCGGTTGACATCACTAGTAGTAGAACGTTCTTGAGAAGCTGAAATCCTACAACTACCCACGGACTGAATCACGTCATTAGGAGGCCATTATCAGCAGAAGATATCGGATCTATCTCATTGCCATTTGAGGACGAATCAGCGGGAGTTAAAATTGGCCGAGGCTGGGAAAATTAAGCGATAGTAAGACCCGGATAAAGGCTCCAAACGTCATATCGGAGGGACGGTCTGCGTCATAGATGGTCTCATGTAGTAAAACGACAATGGGAACTTCTCTTACGCACTGCAATAAAGAGACATCGGTGCCCTGCATGTGTTTTTAGCCTACATATATTAACGTAGAGTCATTTGTCAACTACATCACTACCAAAAAGGCTTTTTCTTGTTTTTCTTATTTTCTTATGGGAAGAAAATTTTTCTTTGGGGGAGAATACTAAGAAAAAAAAAGAAAAAAAAAATGTTTATACCTACTTTCTTGCACCAAGAACAATTCACTCATTTTTCTTGAGTGGAGATTATTTTTCTAGTATAGGCTTCTTTAAATCTTGATTTCTCTTCACTAAAGAAATATTTCTAGAGGAGATTCTAACTTACAAGATTAAAATTCTTTTAATCTTAACATTTCTTTAGTAAAGACTATATTTCTAGGGAAGATTCTAAGTTTAGAAGATTCTAAGATTAGAATTCTTTTAATCTTAAAATTCCCTCAGACTTTCTTATACAATCTTTGTGGGGTCGTCTGGCGTAGCGGCAGAGTGCGCGACTCGGAACTTAGAGTCCCGGGTTCGAGTCCTGACATGCCACCGATCTTGTGCCCTTGGGAAAGGCACTTTACACGACTTTCCTCACTTCGCTCAGGTGTAAATGAGTATTGTCCTGTCATGTATTTGTCCCCTGTGTTGGTGGCGGCATAAATATAAGTTGAAAAAACTTGAGTGTGTCGTCACCACGTCTGGTGATTACATGTTGGAAAAAAAAAATCTTCATGTGAGATTTCTTTCTTACCTGACGTCAAAGTGGTCAGATTTAAGTTTTTTTTCTTGCGCATTCTTGCAACGATTACACAACAAAAACTAATTTTTCTTATTTTCGTATGTTGAGAAATGTTTTCTTACGTAGATAGTATTCAAGAAAATTCAAGAAACATCCTGCAAAGTTTTTATCTCGGCCGCCTGAGCGGCCGAGGTATTGTGCTCCAAAATATGTACGTTGGATGTTGAAATCTTGATTTCGACCGTGAAAAAAAAGCCAATGAAACCAATTACTCTGCCTGCATCACTTTAGTTCTGTCCCACATCTGGGCCATATGCTAATGAGTACACCAGAGACACCTACTGGTGGCTTGGGTGTACTGCAGCAATTGTAGGCGGTCCTACCTACTTTAACCAATCATTGTGGCCCTTTTGTATCACGTGAGGGTCCTATTCCCAGCTCAACTGGGCAGCCATGATGCCTTCTGACAGTTCAGAGGGAAAATTGGCTGAAAAATCCACAAAATATACAAACGTACAGCAAAAAATCGCGCGCCCCCCCACCCCTGGGAATTGAAGGAAGATACAAAGACTTTGTTGGAGGTTTTTTGGGTGAAGGGAAGTTTTCCCAGCCTCGAAACTTGGAAGAATTGGCAGTTTGAGGCTTTGTTTACAACATGGATGCCAGCTGATAATGGTCAGGATCCTGTGTTTTTTGCAGTGGAGGCTGAAAAAAAGGTACGTATGCTATATTTACCATATATTTTGAACTGTCTTTGGGGCTTTTCACTACTTAAGGTACCTTCAAAGTGTCTTTTATGGGCGTTTTGTATTTTGTTTTGCATTCTGTAACAGTTAAAACTTATTATGAAGGTCATTTGAGTGAACATAGCAGCCATAACTTGTAAATAATACCAGTAGTTGGGGGGGGGGGGCTTTTGGGTCATGATTGGGGAAAGTAAGAACCTGTCACAGGACTCATTTTGTTAGTGATGTTATATTCCTTTCAAATAATAAAATCACAAATCCATACAAGCATGAAGAAGAAATCTCTCTTGACAATTTTGCACAAAAAACATATTAATCTATGGATTTGTTTATACAAATGCACCAGTACTTAGAGAGATGCATAACACTCTCAGCTCGTCTCCGTATACATGTAGTGTCACCATGTAATATATAACTAGTTTATGTTCAAATTGACAGCAAGCATTTTTGCACACATAGTGTATAGAATTCCTTCTTTTGCACATTTTGTCAGAACAACATTTTATACATGTGTAATGTGCTTTAATCGAGAACCACCATAACTGAAAATAACTCTGCATATCATGTTGTCACTAGTAAATTACATGTAACGTTCACCTGTACCTTATCGGCACTATACAAAATATACATCAGGTCTTTACATTCTCTTACAATAAATACAATAGGAATTAGGAAAAGTAAGTTAACCTTGTATCAAACAGATACATGTTTAGAAATCTTATGTTCTCCAATAAAGCTCAATCATTTACGCCGCTTGGGTTCAGGCACACCGCCGACATGACCAGGACTGACAGAAAGCATGTGCTTGTGTAGTATAGACAGAATTTGTTGCGTGCTATCTGCAATGCCATATGTTGTCCTTTCAATGTTGTTAAATGCAGCGTGTATTTCTTCTACTCCCTGTTCCCCGTGAAACCCCAGACCAAACTTCCATCTGCGCATCCAAGGCACTACGTGATCTTCTAGGGGGTGCATCTTTATGGGGATGGTTGCAGAGGGGGAACTCACGTCTATAGAACTCCATGAAGTTCTTGATGTCAGTATCTGCAGATGCAAAAAAAAAAGGTAAAAAGACATGTCTGTGACGGTATATAGCAAATTAAAAAGTAAAATTTCTTCTCTTTTAGTTTTGTGATGAAACATCAATGTAAGAAATACTAGCAACTCACCCAGTACAGAGATCTCCTCTTCACTCAGGGGCTTTGCCTTGGAGAACGCATGATGGCACTTGGCATACAGCTTGAATAACTCCTGATACTTCTCTTTCAGGGCCTTAGACCTCGTGACAATGCTGAGGGGGAATCCTTCGTAGTCGTCAACGAGGTCGGCAGCAACATTAGCAGGAATGGAGGTGAGTGATTCGATAGCTGTGTCCTGCAGTACATATATAGAGTGACATAACATTACTGTACTGATAATTACCGGACAGTAGGATAATAATCTTGGTTCCACAATGTGAGAATTTGCTGTTGAAACTGAATGAAAGAAAGAAAACCACAGATTTGTAATTTCTTAGAATTTAAAAGTACCTGGAGCATGGTATGCACATGGTTTCCGACAAAAGCTTGACCATGATAGGCCTGTCGCTTGACATGGAAACTCCTCAGGACACCATCTAGCTGCTTGGACAGTGGACCGTCTTGGACACTGATCTTTGCATCCTTCCTGATTTTAGCAGCTTTTTTTTCCTGTAAAGAACATATATACTAGCATAGTCAATTTTGATTTTTGGCACTGCTGTAGACATTACATGTATATGTACATGTACTGAAAGGTGATTATAAATTTTGTCTCATACTAAAGCAAATCAAGAAGTAAGGCATACCAATTTCATCTTGCTCTCTTGGAGTGACTTAATTTCTTCTTGAAGCTGTTGGAAGCTCTCTTTGGTTGGGTCATCTCCATCTTC